GAGTGTGTGTGGCTTATTTTGGTTTCTCTCTGGTCCTAATGGAAAGGGTGAAAGAAGTCAGAGAGGAGCTAATGGCTGGAGTTGGGCTTCTCGCGAGCTGACACGAAAGTCTGCCACCCCACATACTTAAAAATTCAAATGGGTCAGGATTAAAATTTAAACACCGCAGACTTGAGAATCTAATCCACTGAGGGATGAAAGTCTGGGGAGCGTTCCTGTTCTGCGGTCCTCAGAGAGGTAGGTTTGCGAGTGTGAGTGTGTGTCTCAGAGCAGGGCTATTATATATTTATTAAATGACATAATCCCACACCAGTATGATCTCTCTATCTGTGTGGGAAAGAAGAAAATGTATATTTTGTGTATTATGTAACACCTGCTACTGTAAACTATTGAAAGTGCTTAAAAAACTGACCATCCATCTCATCTTTGTCTCCTATTTCCCTTCTTTTCTTTCCATCTTCCTATCTTCTATCGAACGTCCACACATCTACCATCTCCTCCATACAGTGAGCTCAAACCTGAGCAGTCATGCTCATGAGTACCCAGACTGCCAAGAAGGGGGTAATGAAGCCAGCCTGCTGGTGTCCCCTCTGGTGGTGGCTGGCATCGTCATCGGCCTGGTGCTCTTCCTCTCCTGCGTCACCATCATTGTGGGCAGTCTGCGCAAAGACAGCCGCCTGCGCAACCCCCACCTGCATGCCAGCTACGGTCAGTGGTCTAACTTCATGGGCTCCACAACACATCAAAAACACACCATGGCTTTGTTTGTAGTTTCTGTGTGGCATAATGACATACATAACAAGTTGATTTGTTTTCAAAAAGTTGAGAGGAATCAGCCCTTCCACGCATTCAGCCTTTGTTTGGGAGTTCAGGGAATGAAGGCCAATCCTTGCATAGCCCTACTGCTTCTATCAGTTAGCCTGGTCCAAGGTAGCCTTGTAGTTAGTGATATGGTCAACATGACCCTCTCTCTGCAATTTGGCATTGACTGTATTATAAACTGCAAAAATATAGTTTGAACTTTGTGTGTCCTAGCAGAGTAACCACTGGTGTATTTTATCATGAACCATGGTCATGTTTCACTGTGTTTTATAGTTTTGAACCTTTTTTGTTCAGTTTGTGCCATCTTTCTTTAAATGTCACTTAGTTTGATTTTCGTTTTTTGTCTTATGCAGTGACATTTATACATTTTTGACAAGGTCATATCATGAAAAATACATTTTTCCGTTTAGATTGAGTTCATTGTACTATGAAAACACTGTATCTTTCTTTTTATCCTTGATCATTTCAGTCTGATCTTTACAGATTATGAGGCACATACATATGTTCCTTTACCTTGATGCATTTACATGTTTCGGGCATTAAGGAAATATAATGGTTTTTTATGTCATAATCACACTTTTAAACACATTTTATTGTATAAGCACAACCATTTGAAGGAATAGTTCACACTGTCATAATTTACTCACGCACATGTCGTTCCAAACCCATAAGAGTTTTGAAACACAAATGACAGATATTTTTATTTTAAATCTCTGACGTTCCTGTCCCTCCATTGATAGTCACCCAAAATGTTCAAGGTTCAGAAAAGAGGTATGAGAGCAGATTATAGGAATAAAGGTAATCCATAGTGGTTTAAGCCTTATAAAGAGACATGATTACTTTATATCAGGGGTGCCCAAACTCGGTCCTGGAGGGCCGGTGTCCTGCAGAGTTTAGCTCCAACTTGCCTCAACACACCTGCTTTCAAGTTTCTAGTATGCCTATAAGAGCTTGATTAGCTGGTTCAGGTGTGTTTAATTGGGGTTGGAGCTAAACTCTTCAGGACACCGGCCCTCCAGGGCAGTTTGGGCACCCCTGCTTTATATGATGAACAGATTTTATTAATGATCAACACACATTCATAGAGCTCATTAAATATGGAATACAGAAGATCAAATGTGTGAAACGTCCGTAGTTCTCATGTGTCAAGCAAGCAAATGGATTTTCAGTGGATGGACCAAAATATCTTAAGTTTCATTAAAAATATATATTTTCATCATAAAATCTGTGTTGTGAAGAAACCAAAGGGGTTGGAAGACATGAGTAAATGATCACAGAATTCACATTTTTGGATGTACCATTCCTTTTATGAACTTGACAATAACTGTTTGGATATAAATAAAATAATATGCAATGTATGAAAGTCCCACTCTCAATAACATTCTCAAAATTGTAATAGGGGAAACAAAAATGATCACGTTTTGTTGCTGTTGTTTCTACAGCTCCAGATGGCCTCTCATATGGTGGCTCCATTGGAGAGCTGAGGTCCACTTGTGTTGAGGACTTTCCCCCTGCATTTGACTTTGACTCCTATGTGGAGACGCTATCTCAAGTCAACGTCATGTACCCAGACTCCCCACCTCAGTGAGTCACATTTTACCTCTGGATTGAGTCTGTGAATATATATTGTATGTACCGTGTGGGGTAGAGGAGGGAACATGTGCGATTGTAATCGGTAATGAGATCACTTTATCGGCTGTGACAGAGAAGGCACACTTCCTCTTTAAGGGATTCCATTCCGTCTTTAAAGGCCTCAGCGTAGCATGAGCTGATAACCACGTTAAAAGCCAGTTAGAGATGCTAAAGATAGAAATAGTCCAGAATAATTTGCCATATTTCAACTATATTTCACTCATTTCTCTCTTAACCTGATTCGAAATGTAACTTGCACCCATCTTGTCAGATTCAGACATTCATTCTTGAAGGGTCTGTTTGAAAATAATGAAACTTGTTCTAGTTAGATTAGTTCTGGTGTCTGGGAAAAGAATAATTACTCTGTGTTGACACAAACTTTATGTATATTTGTTAGCTAAAACCAGAGTTGGACTCTGTGTTAATTTTTTGTATTGCGTAAATTTAGGAAAAAGATAAATAAATGGTCAAAAATAGAAATCGTTTGCAGGGAACCAGATGGACCAGTTGTATTCACTCTTCTACAGCTCTCACTCCTTTTCTTCCGTCACTGTTCAGAAGTTTTCACCTTTCGCAGTCCTCCCCCATCCTGTTAGGAAGGTTGGACACCTTTAACTTTTCAGTTCTCCTAAAAAGCGGGGATTGCTGATAAATGCCATGGCTTTGCACTGAAAAAGGCTTGGTGTGTTTGATATAAATGGCAGCTTGTCTAATTGGCATCTTCAAAGAATCTGTCAGTTCCATTCCTTGCCATTTAGCCTGCCTGCCTTCACACAGTGACCCATAAAATACTCCTCAGGTAGGGGAGCCCATCACAGAGGGATGTCTCAGAGCGAGAAAGGTTTATTGCTTATAAGATCTCATTCCAACACTATGATTGTAGGGTGGATGTCAAAACCAGATCCTAACATTTTGGAAGCAGCTCAAATGGCCATTGCTGTTTTTAGCATTTATTACTCATAAGAGCACTGCAAAAGCATTTTTATTGCGTACACTAAGGAACTTCGTAACCTTGTAATGCATTACAAAATCAATACCAAATCATTAGCTGAGGCGATACATTTCAAAATTATTATGACCTCAGGTATATCTGTACATCCTGGAGTCATTATAACTATACTCTGTATCAAATAACTATAATCTATCCATTTGGGATCTATAAATTATATTATTTTATTTCAAGCAAACTCCAAAACCATTATAACCTCCTTGGGGATAGGCTTTATATACTGATATTTTTATGACTTCATAATAGAAGTGTATAATCTAAAATTATTATGACCGTATTAGGAACATTCTAAAATGATGAGGTCATAGTCATTTTGGAATGTATAGCTTCTGATATAGAAGTAATTAAATCTTTAAAAAAGCCAATGATATTAGAAATCAAATACACCTTATGAGGTCATTGTGATTGTGGAATGTATTGCATGAACTCTCATCTTTAGCCTACTCAACCAAAGATACAGTGGTGGCCAAAATAATTAGAACACTAGTACTTTCACCAGCCAAAAAAATGGTTTCAAGTCAGCTATTTCTATCTTTTGCTGTAGTGTGTCAGTAGGAAATATCAGTTTACATTTCCAAACATTAATTTTGCCATTAATTGTAATAATCCAGTGAGATTTTTGTTTGACAACAGCCAGTGCTCCACACAGAGATCTGATCTCTTCATCATCCAGTCTGTCTGGAATGACATGAAGAAACAGAATAAACTGAGACAGACTAAATCCAGAAGAACTGTGGCAACGTCTCCAAGATGCTTCATGAGACCTACCTGCAAAGCTACCTGAAAAACTATGTGCAAGTGCACCTAGGGCAAAAGCTGCTTTAAACATAAAGGATGGTCTCACTAAATGTTGATGTAATTTAGTTAATAGATGTTAATTGATAAATAAAATCTATTTATGACTCTATTTTTGACAGCATCCTCATTTTACAGCATTTTTACACAAGTGCCTAAAACTTTGAACAGTTCTGTAGCTTTGCAGGTATGTCTCTTAAAGCATCTTGGAGACATTGCCACAGTTCTTCTGGATTTAGTCTGTCTTCATTCATGATATGAATGAAAGTGTGCACACATGACAGCACACTGCACACTGGCAGTGTTTCGTATGGGAAATTAAAAAGTGCACTGCTACACCCACATTCATTTAACATGCCAAAGCAACCTTTCATTTGAGTTCAGATTTTCTGGAAAGTGCAATAGGTGAGTGAAAAGAATGATTGCTTACTGAAATGTAAGGAGACTGGATTTAAAGTTTTTAAACTGTAAGTTTCAGATATGAGCTACGGACCAGATTAGCCCATCATTTTGACTATTTATCAAAATCAGTTAAGTTTGTGTTGAAAAATCTGAGCAAATGTACAGTAAAGGTGATCTGTTTGACAGCGTGGGACATCTACAAGGTCATACAAATCAAGCATATATGAACCAATTTTTTATGAATGGTAACAAGGTGAAGGCTGAGCTTATGAATATTAGGCTTGTAGCAAATTAGCTCAAAAGGGAAATGCATATAAATAATTACAATTAATTATGATTAATTACAATTATTTATATCAGCTGCCAGTAGTAACTGTAGCAGAATTAAATTGCCATCAACCAATCTGTTCGTCCAGCGAACATTCAGTGAAAGTTCATATCAACTCTAGGAAATAAATATTTCCGTGGCCACAGAAAATACTTTCTTACAGTATTAATGCACTAGAGCATGTAGTAAGGATCAAAATCGTAAAGGGACAATTAATTTGCAAGGCAGAATCAGAAACTCATGTAATTTGTGCACAAGAGTTTTATTAACTAAACACTAACACAAACTAGTCTAACAAACAAACAATCACTCATACAGGGGAAAAGGGCAAATGAGACTTGATGCTATGTGTTGGAGCCCACCGGGCACACCCGCACCGGCTCAGGCTCTCGACACGGCCCGCGATCAGAAGGTTTTAGCAGAAGACTTAGCAGAAGAAAACAGCACAACAACCTGGGCGGAACTGTGCGTGAGCCTTTTTAAGATCTGAGAAGATTCACGCCTCTCAGGATGGGCTTGTCCAATGAGAAAGGCTGAAATTCCAAGCAGGAGGTGTTTTTCCTATGGTTGAAAGATGGTGAGAGGGAGAACTCTCAACATGCTATTAGGTCGTAAAGTCTATCTGGTCTAGCAAAGGTGTCATGGTTGCCATGGTAACCAGGGTCCTGGGCCTCATTCACAGACATCTTGGCGCCCAGTATGTTTATAAAGAATGAGAATGTGACGTAACGCTGCTTTGAGTTCTGGGAAACTGCTTTGTTTATCCGCCATACTTGCAGGATAGCGCTGCCTTTCCGCTATTGAGTTTAGGGCAGTATTTGATTGTTTGTCGTGATTGTGAAAAATGTCACCAGTGTATGTCATTCATACTGCATCGAGAATTGCAATAGTAACTCAGATCATCGTTCTGAGAGAAAACTGGACAATGCAATATGTTTTTTCGCCTTTTCTATGTGTAAAAACACACCAAGGGAAGGTCGCGGAGAAGACGCCGAATAGTAAATCTGTTAATGTCACTGATTAAACCCACTGACTCTCACTCATCAAATGAAAAATGGTGTGTTTGATTGGTCCAGACGCTGCAGGCTATATGACTGAACAGTCTAGGAAAATTACCTTGCAATGTAAGCATGAGCTCATTAATATTCATGAGTTTGATGTCACAGCCCACCCATCTTGCCCTCTTATCCCCTTTTAAATTTAAAACACTGCCTGGATATATACTTTAAACGTTATTGAATGCAATGCATGTAAATGTGCCCCTGCTCTAAATAAAAACTGTTGCGTGCCGCTGTCAAAGATGTTGACTCGAACCTTGACTAAAGTCAAGTCACTTCTGATTGACCTGACTGTTGAGTCAGTTAATCTGCTCTCGAAGTGACTCTGTCTAGTTAAGTTATTCACTTTCTCAATACTGAAGTGCTTCCTCGGTTGCAAAACAAATATCTAAATTGTCAAGCATGTGGCTGTCTGTTTGTGTGTGTGTGTGTGTGTGTGTGTGTGTGTGTGTGAAATATCAGAGAGGAAAGTTTTAGTTAGGGTCATGCTTGTGCTCAACTTGTCTGCCCTTCATGGCTTGTTTCACAGAGTGCCAATTTTATTTACATCTCTATGACAGTTCCATTAGGCTGGCAGAGCCCTCTGGTGAAGCTCTGTGAAGGGGCTTTTGAACAGGGTGAAATTACCTCTCCCCGGGAGCAAGAGCTACCTGAAAGAGCAGGGCCTCCTCCTATTAAACAGCAAATTATGACTGATATAGAATATTAGTGCTGGCCTGGAGGCCTATTAAGAATTACTGAATAGTGTGTAATTCTGTTTGGGAGAGATATCCGACCCTCAGTCCAGATACTCAATTTAATTAGAGACCAGCAGTCCATACCCGCACACCTCTGTGAGAGGATGTGGTAAGATGATGGAAGATTACCACTACACACTCTTGAACATATTTTGTTCTACATTGAAAAATCTTCATCCAATGAAACAATGTTTATGGAAACAAACTATCTTATTATTCTACAGCAGAGGCGCGGGAAGGAGGGGTGTTGCAGCACCCCCTGTTTTTACTGGATTGTAAACATATTTATATGAAGAAATTATTAGGCTACATTTAAAATCAGTAAAAATAGTTTTTTTTTTAATTGTTCGTTATTTTTTCTTCCCTCACTTATTTCTTGAGAGACCTTGTAAATTAGAAAGTACAATATCAGATTTATCACTATTCTATACACTTTTGACATCATATGTAATGTCGTACGTAAGCTGCTTCAGTACCCACAACCCAAAACATCTTCCTGTGACCCTGTTATGCAGTTAGTTCCAGTCCTTCAATCTGATTGGCCATGCAGTTGTTTAAAGAGTATAGTTTGTTTGCTTGTCTGTGTTTGTACATTCCAGATGTACTGTCAGTTTATGTGTTAG